CAGGGTTTCAAGGCTTTGGGTCATTTTTCACTGCTTTCCCAGGCCACAAGCAGGGAGCAGGATGGGAAGTAGAGTGGCCACAAACTGGTGCCCATATAAGATCCTGGCGGATGCAAGACAAGGATCTAGCCACTAGGCTATTGTGCTTGGCCCAATTCTTAATATTATGGATCTTGCAGTAAATATGAGAAAAACATTGTAGAGTCTCCTCCCCTAAACCCTTAAAACTTCCACAAGAAATTCTTTTTGTTTGTTTAAGCATGTATTTATTTATTTGAAGCAACATTAAAAATACATTTATTTATTTTCGTTGGAAAGGTAGATTTTTTACAGAAAGAAGGAGAGACTCCCCAAATGGCCGAAATGGCCTGTGTTGAGCTGATCTGAAGCCAGGAACCAGGAGCCTCTTCTGAGTCTTCTAAGCTGTGCAGGGTCCCACGAACTTGAACCATCCTCCGCTACCTTCCCAGGCCACAGGCAAAAAGCTGGATGGGAAGTGGAGCGGTCAGGGCATGAATGAGTGCCCATTGGCAAGCTGGTGCTTGCAGGTGAAGGATTAGCCAGTTGAGCCATGTGCTAGCGTCTATTTATTTATTTGAAAGTCAAAGTTAGAAAAATAAAGAGATGCCTGCCAGCCTTCATTTTATTTCCCAGATGGCAGCCAGAAGTTAGAGTTTCATTCAGGGCTGCCACGTGGGCGGCACTTGGTCCATCTTCTGTTGTTTTCCATGCACATTAGCAGAGAGATGGATCAGAAAAGAGGGAAGCGAGACTCATATGGATGGCCATGTGTGATGCCAGTTTTGCAGACATCAGCTTCACTTGCTACTTCACAATGCCAGCCCCAAGAAATTATTAAAAATAAATGATTGCTTTCTCCCATTCTCATTACTTTTCAGAGACTAAAGACAGCGTTGCCAGTTACCAGGGGTTTTTTTAAACTAATGATTTTAATGAAAAGGGTTGGATGGAAGAAGAAACACATTTTCAAGGAGATTTTCCCTGTAACTTCACTGGAATGAAACATGAAATTTCCTGGGCTCCCTTTAGTCAGGCTACAGGAGAAAGCAGAAGGAAAGCAAGGCCTCATTGCCAGCTCCGCGCGAATCGCTGACATTTCAAAATTCTCAATTTAGATCTGTTTCAACTTCTATCCATATAGCAGCCTGATACATTTATTGTGTATGGTAACACTCATTTCAGGGATTGTGGCATAATTTCAAGGAGACGGTCACTAAGCTAACTTACTGAGGAAGCTATATCAGAAAAAAAAAATTCGGATAAGTATTTTGCTCTAGTGGACTGTAGAATCACTTTGTAACCTCTACCATCAAAGGTACAGATTGTCAGCCTGCAGAAAGCAGAATGCCCAGGTTCCCACATGGGCACCGATTCTAATCCTAGCGGCCCCACTTCCCATCCAGCTCCCTGCTTGTGGCTTGGGAAAGCAGCCAAGGACAGCCCAAAGCCTTGGGACCCTGCACCCACGTGGGAGACCTAGAGGAAGTTCCTGGCACCTGGCTTTGGATCAGCTCAGCACTGGCTGTTGCACTCACTTGGGGAGTGAATCATTGGACGGAAGATCTTCCTCTCTGGCTCTCCTCTCTGTATATCTGACTTTATAATAAAAATAAATAAATCTTTTTTTTAAGATTTTTAAATTTTATTTTTATTATGTTTTTTATTGGAAAGGCGGATATACAGAGAGGAGAGACAGAGAGGAAGATCTTCCGTCCAATGATTCACTCCCCAAGTGAGCACAACGGCTGATGCTATACCAATCCGAAGCCAGGAGCCTCTTCCGGGTCTCCCACGCGGGTGCAGGGTCCCAAAGCTTTGGGCCACAGGCAGGGAGCTGGAAGGGAAGCAGGGCTGCCGGGATAGAACTGGCGCCCATATGGGATCCCGGGGGCGTGCAAAGCGAGGACTTAACCACTTGCGCCACCGCGCAGGGGCCAATAAATAAATCTTTTTAAAAAAACCTATTTGCTTATTTGAAAGGCAGAGTCATAGCCAGAGAGAAGGAGAGGTAGAGAGGTCTTCCATTTTCTGGTTCATTGCTCATCTGGCCACATGATTGGATCTTGGCCAATATGAAGCCAGGAGCTTCTTCCAGGTCTTCCATGTGGGCACAGGGGCCCAATGACCTGGGCCATCTTCCATTGTTTTCCCAGGCACATTAGCAGGAAACTGGACTGGAAGTGGAGCAGCTGAAACTGAAACCATCACCCACACGAGGCACTGGTGCATCAACAGTGGCCTTACCCACTGTACCACAGAGCTGCCCCTTTCTCACCACTTCTAAGTAATCTAGAGCTAATACTTTGAAGCATATAAATATCCTCTCCTGATGAACTTACACTTCAAGATTTAGCATCCCCTGGTAGTTTTTGCTTCAACAAATCTTTACCAGGGTCATTGTAAAAATAGTAATTTCCTAATCCTGTTACTCTTTCCACAATCTTACTTTGACTTTGATTATGATAAAAGCCTACACTGTTGAGGTCCAGGCAGTGGATGTAGGGGACACGAAGGTGTGAAGAGTATTGTTCCATTGCAGGCACGGCCGCAGGGAATTTCCTGCTGTTGGGCAGGGCCCGGTGGCCATCTCTGCAGCCACCTGAATGCAGCTTCACCTTTTGCATGGACACCAGGGAATTCTAATCCATCCAGGCGTTGTTTGCTACTGTGGGCTGGCCTTTTGCTCAGTGTGAGCTTGGAGGTTAATGTTGGTGATTATGCTAATCAAGGGACCTATATTTAGGCTTTCATTCTTTCCTCATTCTTTAGATTCCTCTATTCTTTGTGATACAAGATTGAGTTGTAGGATAAGAATTGTAGCAGGAACTTCTATTGTTAAAACTAATGGCAGAATTATCCTTAGAAATTCCCAACTTGACCATGATGTAAAAAGTCTGAGCCAGAGTTTGACTGATTTTGTATAAATAAAGCGGACAGCTTTCCCGCATTGTCCATTATGATCATGAAATCCTAGTGGTTCATCTTTCTTTCCTCTTTGCGCCTCATCCACGTACCCTTCTCGAGTTGCGAACTCAGCTGGAGCTGGACTCCATACACTTTCCCCTTATTTATTAATAAACCACTAAATATTTTATTATAATTCTTTACTATAATAATTAGCATGGATTACTCTTCTCTCAGAAAGGTTTAATCTGTTATAGTCCTATTTTATTTATTTTTTTAAATTTATTTTTATTATTTTTTCATTGGAAAGGCGGATATACAGAGGAGACAGAGAGGAAGATCTTCCGTCCGATGATTCACTCCCCAAGTGAGCGCAACGGCCGATACTACGCCGGTCCGAAGCCAGGAGCCTCTTCCGGGTCTCCCACGCGGGTGCAGGTTCCCAAAGCTTTGGGCCGTCCTCAACTGCTTTCCCGGGCCACAGGCAGGGAGCTGGAAGGGAAGCGGGGCTGCTGGGATTAGAACCGGCGCCCATATGGGATCCCGGGCGTGCAAGGTGAGGATCTTTAACCACTTGTGCCACCACGCCGGGCCCCTAGTCCTATTTTATTTTGATGTTCATTATCCCAGATGGCCAGCTGGAGTCCCTTTTGCTGACGCATGTGGCCATGACTCTCCGGGCGGTATGATGTACCTTCTGGTGTAGCATGATGTTCCAAGCACATCTTGTGTGTCTTCTTTGCCTAACTTTGGAATGAGACGCTTGAATTTTTTCCTGTAGTAGCAAGCAGTCCTGGTTGAAAAACCAGTGTCTGGGTGTTTGGTGTGTTTGTTGTCATCAAGCTATTGCAAGATTATCACATTATTTCTAATCTAGTCCCTTTCTTCTTAAAACATTTACAGAGGATTCTGAGATTTCCTTGTAAGCACGAATCAAAGGATGACTTGCCATACAAGCTTTTGCTTACCCAGTTAATTTGAAGCTTCACACTGTCATCTTAATGTATAAAGAAGTGGGCATGCTGAAAAGACATCTGTAGTTGGGCTTATTCCAGTGTGTTGCCCAAGTATTCCTACTCTATGACCCTGCCCATCTTCCATTGTATTTCCCTTACCTTTGCTTATGAGAATGGATCAATTCTAGTCCATTAAAATGCTCACGCTGTAGATAAGAGGCCCTGGGCCCAACACTCAAGCCCAACTCCCGCTTCCAGCTCCCTGCGAATTCACATGCTTGGAAGCAGCTCTGGCGGGTAAAGCGCCTAGGTGCTTGCCACTCATGTACGAGCTCTGGATGGAATTCCTGGCTCCTGGTGTTAGCTCTTGGCCTGGAGCCACTGTACGCATGTGCAGAATGAACCAGCCAATGCAAACTAAATTTTCCTCTGCTTCTTAAAAACATAATTTTTTTTTTAAAAAAAGGAATAATCAGAATATAATAAACAGTTCTGGAATTAGAATTTTGACAATTAAAATAAAAATGTAATAGATGGATTTGAAGATACATAAATAAGAAAAATCTCCCAAAGAATCAAACAATAAAAAGAGACAAGGAGATTAAAGTGCTAAGGGACTGGGGCTCGGGTGTGGTAGGCTAGACTGCAAATGAGAATGCTGCCATCTTTTTTTTTTTTAAGATTTATTTTTAACTTTTTTTTTTTTTAATTGGAAGGCAGATATACAGAGAGAAGGAGATACAGAAAGATCTTTTGTCCGCTGGTTCACTCTCCCACTGGCCGAGAAAGCTGGAGCTGAGCCGTACTGAAGCCAGGAGCCTCCTCCAGATCTCCCACATAGGTGCAGGGCATCTCGAGTGCTTTCCCAGGATACAAGCAGGGAGCTGGATGGGAATTGGGGGTCACTGGGACACAAACTGGAACCCACATAGGTTCCCAGCACGTGCAAGGTGAGGACTTCAGCCATTAGGCTACTGCGCTCTGAATCTAACTGAGCCTGTATATTATCTACACTCCCACTTGCAACACTGGACCTAACCCCTTAAAGGACTCACCTTTTCCTTCCTATAAGAAATTAAAAACCTAAAAAACAAAGAAGAAATTGTCTTTTATCTTTTCAATGGAATTTATTTGTTTAAGTAAAAGTAGCAAATTCTACATAAATTATTTCCATAAGAGCTTTTATTTTGTACAACCACATTTGTATCGAGCAACATTTATGGGATGTTCTCTGGGTCCACAATACTGCATATCTAAGTATTGTAGCATACATTCCCTTTTCCAAGCTAGACCATGACCTTGAGTGCTGAAGCAGCATGGCTTCATGGTGCAGCGTCATCATGTGTGCCAGCCTGAGAGAGGCTTCTTGATGAAGGATGTTTCTCTTTTGTTGACTTACAAAATGGTAGCTTTTCTTTTTGTGTGATCACCAAACACATATGATTTTTTTTTTTTTTGCAATTTATATTTCTTCTATGAGGAAAATAAAGCAGTAAAAAACAGAGCAGTGACATCCGGTCTTTGCAGAGATGCCTGCCTGGTGTGTCAGGTGTACTCTTATTGGTTCTCATCATTCAACTCTGATAGCATGCTCACTGCTAAATAAACAAATGAACGAACGAACCAAAAAGACTAAGCAGTGTAGCAACATAACCGGCCAAGTATATATGATGTTACATCTCATTCTTCTCTTGAATGTTTTTAGGCGATATTGATGTTTTTCTTATTTTTTTCTACACACCGTGGACAACAAGGGTATCCTGAAAGCATCCTGATTTAACAAGGACAAAACCTTGAGTTTGTTTTTCAGGACTGTGGTAGAGTAGTTTACTGTTAAGATAACATGATCTTGCTGCTCTTATTTTTTTCATGTCTATTTTATAAACATTTAGAGAACAGAACATTCCTGACATTTATTGCTATACCATTATTACTTGGTTGCACATGATTATCAGATTTTAGGCTGATTTTGTTGCTCTCATACTTGTAAACATTTCACTGTTTACTTTTCCAAACATGTGCTTATGCTAATGATCCATCAAGTGTAACGGGTAGTCCTTGGTAATAATAAATGCATAATCATTGCTTTGGATACCAATCTTATCGGTTGAAATTTTTGTTGCTATTGGAGCTCTGACTATTCTGTACAGGTAAGTATTTCAGGATAGGAAAAATGAGTATTTCCAGAGAAACCATACAGCATGCTTATTTGGTACGAATTGTCTGGTTCAGTGCATCACTGGTATTTTAGGGTGGGATCTACATGCAGCTTCTTCATCGAGCTTGTTGTTCCATTCACTGTCACTGTACATGTCCCTTTGGGCTCACTTCCTGTGGTGGAGGGAAGGGGTCCTACAGATTCTCCAATCAAATCCAACGCTAGATTTAGAACTGAAGATGCTCTGTTTTGCATACCTGCAATGCCTAAAAAAGCAAATGTTTAAGAGAGCAATGTGTGGTTAAAACTTCATAGTATTTTTAACAGTTCTATGAGTTAAGTGATCTGTCACAAAGTTGCACCAAAAAGTACAAAGTGTTAGTAAGATCTGTTTCCACTAAGGTACATTAAGAATTACCGTATGGTCCATTCAGAGCAATCTGAGTATAGCAAAACAAGGTATTTTACATTTATTTTTCCCTCAAGTCACTTTAGCAGCAATTTCTCTTAACTAAATTTTAAAACACACAGAGTATAATACTCCACTTCCATACACTCATCTGCCATCTTAAGTTATCAACAATTCCCGTCCATCATTAACCAATAACATTTCTGGATAACTTACATTAGGCAGCTTCACAAACTTTCTTTATCTGTTTTAAAACAAGAATCCCTCGGAAACTAACAAAGTTGTGATATCTTCCATAAAAAGAGGCCCTAGTAATAACTTAGTGTTTGTATAGTTTACCAAATTTACAAACATAAGATGTTTCATTATAACCAGTAAAGACTGGCTCTTTCAATTTCTGAAGCCTGTAAATTATGTTTTACATTCTGGTGTAATAATGGAACAGCAATGGGCATTGCCGAAATTGTTAAAAAACAGACTTAAATGCGCTCTGGGTTCTCTTGTTTGTATCATTATGTTATTGCTGGTCATCTCAGTTTGGGAAATCTCCTAGGCATACTTGGATTGTGGTCAATTGAAAGAATATATTTTTAAAAGATTTATTTATTTCATTAAAATTTATTTATTTATTTTTATTGGAAAGGCAGATATACAGAGAGGAGGAGAGACAGAGAGGAAGATATTCCAGCTGTTGGTTCACTCCCCAAGTGACTGCAATGGCTGGAGCTGAGTCAATCCGAAGCTGGGAGCACAGAGCTTCCTCCTGGCCTGCCACGCGGGTGCAGGGTCCCAAAGCTTTGGGCCATCCTTGACTGCATTCCCAGACCATAGAAGGGAGCTGGATGGGAAGCAGGGCATCCATATGGGATCCTAGCGCGTTCAAGGCGAGGACTTTAGCTGCTAGGCCACTGCACCAGGCCCAATTGAAAGAATATTTAAGAGCATTCATTTTATTGAACATCTGAAATGCCCTGAAAATTTGTGTATCAGATAGGACAGAAACTCGATAAGCATTTCCCTAAATTTGATAACAATCCTACAAATTAGTTGGTATTATAGAGTTAAATGTGAAAGAAATATCTGCAAGCTGTCAAATGGAAAAACACAAAGCAATTAAACAATTTTCCTTATTTGAAAAGCAGAATTAGAGAATGAGAGAGAGAAAGAAACAGAGATCTGCATCTGCTGCTTTCCTCTCCAAATGAGCAGGCTGGGGCTGGGCCACGTTGAAGCCAGGAGCCAGGAGCTTCTTTTGGCACTTGGGCCATCTTCTGTTGCTGTCCAGTTACATTAATGGGCATCTGGATGGGATGCAGAGTAGCCAGTGCTCAAAATGGTACTCATAAGGGATGCAAGCGTCACAGCTGGTAGCTTAGCCCACTGCACCACAATGCTAGTCCTGAAGCACAATTTTTGATACAGTAGGAGATAGTCTATGTTTAGCAAAAATATGATGTACGAGGTGGCCAGGTGGTCACTGCGGTGCTGCAGTTAAGCTGCTGCATGAGATGCTTGCATTCGTTATCAATGTGTCAGTTTGAGTCTCAGTTACTCTACTTCCAATCCAGCTTCCCAATGTGTCGGCAGACGATGGTTTAAATGTTTGGACCCTTGCCATGAACAGAGGCGCTCAGGCTCCTGGCTTTGGTCTGGCCTAGCCCTGGCTATTGTAAATATTTGGGGAGTGAACTTGTAGAAGAAAGAGATTTCCCTCTCTCTCTAACACTCTACATTTCAATTAGTTTAAGATAAATGAAGACTTTAAAATTACTGTAATTTTTCTTGTAATATGTGTTATCACAGAAATTTATTACCTTTTAAATATTATACAGTTTTCATAATTTATTTCTTGTCAAATAGAAGTTCAGAATTAAAACTTCATGTTGACACATTAGTGGGGTTTTTTTTTTTTTCCCTCAAACTTTGTCTCCATTTATTTTCCTTTTATTTGAAAGGTAGAGGCAGAGGCAGGGAGTCATGAGCAAGACCTTCCATTCACTGGTTCACTGCCCAGATGCCCACACAGGTAGGTCCGGGGCGGGATCCAGAAGAGCCCAGGTCTCCTGCAGGCACGGATCCCCAAGTCTAAGCAATCATCTGCTTCTCCAGTGTGTATGTTGTCAGGAAACCAGACAAGAATTGGAGTTAGACACAAAGCAGGCACTCTGGTCTGAGATGGGGTATCCTAAATTGAGTCTTTGTTTTTAAAAATTTATTTATTTATTTTTGATGGAAAGGCCAAAGTACAAAAATAAGGAGAGACAAAAAGATCTTTCATTTGCTGGTTCACTACCCAAATGGCCTCAATGGCCGGAGTTGACTTAATTCAAAGCCAAGAGCCAGGAGTTTTATACCTGTGTGAGTACAGGGTCCCAAGGTTTTGTGCCACTATCTACTGCTTTCCCAGGCCACAAGCAGGGAGATACGTGGAAAGTGGGGCAGCCAGGACACAAACTGACACTGGTAGGCAGAGTGGGTGTTCCAACCAGACGTTCTGTCCCCAACACATCAGATAAATGTGATGATTAATTTTATGTATCAACTTGGCTAGGCCATAGTGCTTACTCAATTACCAGCCAGTCTAGACACTGCTGTCAAGTATTTTTAGATGTGATTAACATTTAATAGACTTTAAGAAGCCTTTTCCAAACAGTTCAGGGCCTTAAAGACGAAGGGTCCCTGAGCAAAAAGGAATTCTGTCTCCAAGCTGACTTTAGGACTCAAGACATCAGCACCAGCTCTTCTCTGGGATGCCAGTCTGGTGGTCCGCCTGCCTGGTGGCAGAGTACAGCATACTACAACATCAGGCTCTCAGCAAGTGAGAGCTGCCTTTCATTTCTAGTCTTGCCAGGCCCCAGAATTGCAGGAGCCAATGTAGTACAATATTTCTCTTTTTCTTACACACATATACACACACACACAAATTGACTTTGTTTCTTTCAAAAATCATGACTAATACAATGAGAAACACAGAGAACCAGATGCTGGTGGTGGCTAGCTAGTGTTGCAATCATGTGACTTTGATTAGTTAAGCACTTTTAGATTTTAGTTTCATGATCTCCAAACTAAAGAAACTGTACATCAGGGTCTTTCAAGCATGGCAATTAATGCCATTTTCAGACTGTATGTATGTGTTGGGGGAGCTAATGGGCTGGTGGGACAGAGGACTAGCAGGTGAGGGCAAAAGAGGGAGAGAAGAGCAGGTGGTTATTTCCCGAGGATTGTTTTAGCTGTGTTTCTGGTCTCTTTCCACTAGATGCCAGGAATATCACCCAGCCGTGACAATCAAAATTAACTCCAAACATTTCTAAATGTCCCCTAATGGGAGAAAGGGTCAGATCATCCCCTCCTCCCATTCTCCATTTGAGCAACACAGATTGGATCATTAAGTTATAATAAATATATAGGTAATGCTACGTTAGAGGAAGGCCAAAGATTGATAACATCAAACTGTTTGTTAAAAATGTACTTGTTTTATTATTTCATAATTTAGTTCCATAGACCCTGGGATTTCCATTCCCCCTTCACCAAGTCTCCACCCTCCACCGATTTCCCCTATAACACTACAATAGGATAGTCCTTCATCATCAACTGTAAGTTCATCATTCTGCTACTTAAGTGTATCCTGACACTGTAGTGCGGACAATGGCAGAGTACAGCATCTTATAACACCAAACTCTCAGCAAGTGAGAACTGCAGGCACCTTGAAGGCAATCTCAGAAATGAGAGGAAAAGATGGAAAAAAAAAAAAAAGAGGAGGAATACTCTATAGCTCTGAACTTTGGAGAAATGAGCTTTAACTGTGAAACATTTGCCGTGAAGCTACCAGCAGCAACCTCAGCTCAGCGCAGGGCGGAGGGCAGAGCTGACCACAGGGACTATTGGTGGGGGGGCTTCTCAGCCTCTTGGTTGCATGGCAACTCTGCATCTACATGGTTTTGAGTCATATCCTTAATAGTTAATGTAGTACAGCTGTTTTTTCAAAGAAATTTTTTTGGTGATAGCACTGGACAGGATATGGCTGTAGTCATCTTAATCTCCTGTGACTTAAACCACCCAGAAGAGAAAAAATATAGCAGCATTCCACTAGATGGTGCTATATCAGACTAATTCATCCAACACTGAGGTTGTAGGTGACCCTGTTTCTCAGCATTATCTTCTCACACCCTTTTGAAATACTTTGAGTTCAATGAGATTTAAAATGAAAGATAGCTTTCAATGAAAAACATTTCATTCCATTATATGCATGAGGCAGGGGAACAGGATAGGAAGCGGGAGACATAATTTCCTAAGCGTTGTAAGCAGTGTCTTTAGCCTCCTCCGTCTTCTTCTGTGACTCAAAATACAGGCATTTAATGTACCTGGGAAGGCAGCAGGAGATGGCCTGAGTACTTGAGTCCTTGCCACACATGTGGGAGATTCAGAGGGAGTTCCATTCTCCTGGCTTCAACCTGACACATCCTCACCTGCTGTGGCCATTTAGGGGTGAACCAGTGGATAAAAGATGTCTCTCTCTGCCTCTATGTCTCTGTCACTCTCGTCTAAAATAAATATATTTTTTTAAACTGTAAAAAAAATACAGGCATTTCCAGTCTAAGCAATGTGGCTTTACAAAGTAAAGCCCCAGGAGGCACAAAGTGTGCTGACTCATACTGAATGTCTGTCTCCCCCTTGCGCCCATGTTAATTATGCTGTAGCGAGGTGGTTTAGTAACACTACTGCTGGCAAATGAAAGCAAAATTAACATAAACTTTAATTTTCATTTCTTGAACAACCTGGTAGCTGATATGGTCAGAGTTTCGTATCTTGGTGGTCTGAGATACTAAAAAGCCAAAGGTTATGAGACTTGAATGCTTTGCAGGGCTCTGTAGTGCTACAGGATGCTCCTAAGGATAGCTACAAGTCCTCCAAACAGAAAAGGGACTTGGGTAACTGGGTCACCTCTTGTCAAAATGAGAAGTCTTAAGAGCCCATTCAAGTAGTTATCCCATGACCAGAAAGTCTTTTGAAATTTATGGACATTTAGGGAGAAAGTCGATGCAAATATCTTTACTATCTCTAATTCTTTAGGGTCAGTCTACAAGTATGTACAAGTCAAGGGAAACATTCCCATTGCAGTTGCTGTAAGTAGTATATATATATATATATATATACTACAAAAGATTTACTTATTTACTTATTTTTTATTTATTATTATTTTTTTATTATTATTATTTATTTACTTATTTACTTATTTACTTATTTACTTATTTTTATTGGAAAGGCAGATATACATAGAGAAGAACAGACAGAGAGGAAGATCTTCCAGCCAGTGGTTCACTCCCCAGGTGGCTGCAACGGTTGGAGCTGAGTCAATCCAAAGCCAGGAGCCAGGAGTTTCCTCGCAGTTTCCCACATGGGTACAAGGTTCCAAAGCTTTGGGTTGTCCTCGACTGCATTCCCAGGCGACAAACAGGGAGCTGAACGGGAAGCAGGGCTGCCGGGATTAGAACTGGCACCCATATGGGATCCTAGCACGTTCAAGGCGAGGACTTTAACCACTATATCGCGCTGAGCCCAGTAGTATACTTTTAAATACAAGAAACTATGATAAACTCTCATCAGAGCTTGACTTAGCTGTATAACAAAGGAGCTAAGAGAGCTGTGAAGAGGATGAGGGTGTTAATCCCTAATAGGTATGAATGGGGATAAGCTGGTACATTACATATAGTTCCATATTCAATTTAAAACACAGTCTGTTGCTGTGTTCCTGATTCCAGCTTCACCTTTATGTACACCCTTGAAGGCAACAGGTGTCGGCTCAGGGAGTTGCTGCCTAAAGCCACAGGAGAGACCTGGATTGAGCTCTACTTCTAGTTTTGGCCTCTGGACTATTGCCACTGTTGTCATTTAGGAAGGGATCTGGTAGATGAGCAATCTCTCTTTCCCTCTCAGATAAACTGATTAAAAAATTTATAAAATTTTTAAAAAAGATTTATATTTATTTTCTTGAAAATTCAGATTTATAGAGGTAAGAGAGACAGAGAGAAAAGATTTACCAACTGCTGGTTCACTCCCTAAGTGGACACAGCAGCCAGAGCTGAGCCAATCCAAAGCCAGGAGAAAGGAGAATGGGTGCAGGGTCCCAAGGCTTCGGGCTGTCCTCAACTGCTTTCCCAGGTTACAAGCAGGGAGCTGGATGGGAAGTGTAATAGTCGGGATACAAACTGGTGCCCATATGGGATCCTGGCACATGCAAGGTGAGGACTTTAGCAACTAAGCTACCATGCCAGGCCCTAACTAGATAAAATTTTAAAACAGAATCAGAAGAAAATGAAGTGCTAAAATGATATCAAAGAGGGCCAAAGATGCAGAGAATCGCAAAGAAAAGTCAAAATTAGAAAAGTAAATGGAAGAGAAAAATGGATGCTGATGATGGATTTTTACCCTCATTTGTCATCCATTTGTCTTCATTAATCAATGAAAATATTAATAACATAAATATATTTTCATCTAAATATTAGAGGAAAAAGGGTAAAGACAAATGAATGCATCATGATGTTGGGTTGCTACAGGAGACACAAAATTCCACTGAGGCCAACCCTAACAATAAAGTGTATTTTCTAAGAAAAAAATAGATCACCATTTGCTTCAAGAAGGTCTTTGATTTTCTTTTTTGGTTCTTCAGTGACACATTGGTTATTCAACAGCATGCTATAAAACTCCATGTTGTTGTATATTTCCTATTTTTCTTCCTATTATTGATTTTATTTTATGGCTTTTCATTGAATGGAATGTATAGTAACTGTGTGATAGAGATGTGAGGATACAATGCAGTATGCATCTCTACTTCCAAATCAAAGATGGATTTCCCATGAAACTGTTAAATACATCTTGACAATAGGATGATGGACTCTCTACCATTGTCCATACCTACAAAGTCAGGATAAATTAAAAGAGCATGAAGACAGACTTAGGACTGTTTATGAAGGACTATTCTACTGTAATGATATGGGGGGAATCAGTGGGAGGGACGGGACTTGGGGAAGAGGGGAGGGAAATCCCAGACCTATGGAACCATATCATAATAAACAAATAAGGAAACAAAAAACCCTAAATGTATATTTTCTTCAAAACTCTCACTAAAATTTTTTTGTTAATAAAATTAAAATATCTTGTCAAAATCTATATTGAATTATTACAATTATTTCAAGGTTTGAAGCCAGTGAGAAAGGCTAGATGTTTGATGTAAAGTGAAAGACAAGACATAGAGCAAGCCCACATCCCATACGCCATGGTGTGTCTGGGGTTGAGTCCCAGCCTTACTTCCAATCCCAGGTTTCTGCTGATGTTCAGTGTAGGAGATATCAGGTGATAGTTCAAGTACTTGGGTACCTGCCACGCAGACCCAGGTTGAGTTCTGGGCTCCTGGCTTCATTTTGTCTCACTTCTAGCTTTTACGAGTATTTGGGGAATGAACCAGAAGGATGGGCAAGGTCTCTGTGTCTGTCTCTCATTTCCTTTTTTCTTTCTCTGCCTTACAGATATAAATAAATAAATATATAAATAAATTAAAGAAATAATGTGAAGCAGCATGGAGGATGGTGGAGACGCTGCAAGATTTGTGTCCAGTAGCTGGTATGCATGTCACCCTACTGTCTCCAGCTGTAAGTTCAGTCTCATGCATGCACATCAGAGACTTTCCAGAGGTCTGACTCTCCTGTGTTCTAAAGAAGCCTTTCCTGACTTGTCATGGGTTCCTCCTTTGCCTTCTTTGTACCCTAGCCCCAAGTTAGCATCTGTTCTGTAAAGAAACATTTCTGAATACCTTTGGAGAGCACTAGTTACTCTGTGGCCCTTTTAGAGATTTCTGGTGCACATGAGCACAGTAGAAGTATATAAAAACATTTGAGAGGTTCTATGCAAGGAAGACCTGCATAACTGAACTTAGGATTTCTCAGTCTTTTTCTCAATCCCACTACCACCCTCAGTAACACTTTCAGCATTTCACAGGTCACTGGTGTCATCTAAGAGAGTATCTAGAAAAGGCTCTTCAACATCTAAAAACATGACAGTATTTTCTTGCCATGGTGAAAGGGGTTGAAGGATTTAAAATACTTACCAAAATGATCTACTTAATATCCTGAGAATTAAGATTTTTGCTTACATTTGGCTTCTTGGTACAGTTGTTTAGCTTTTGCCCTATCATTCTCCTAATTGAAACATCATCTGTATTTGGAAATAACTGTTTTGTTACACCTGTAAAAAACAATAAAAATATTGTCTGAAGGGTTTGCATCGTAGTATATGAATCCAGGTAAAGCATCAAGCATCTTACATTAAAATTTCATATGCATTTTACAAAAGTAGCCCAAGTTTCCACAATGTTTAATAGGTGGATCTATAAGCAGACTTTTCGCATTCAAGCAAGAGATACCAGAAAGTCTGTATTACAAACTGAGAGTGGGGCCAATGCTATTGTGGTGGGTAAAGCCACTGTCCGTGGTGCTGGCGTCCCATGTGGGTGCCAGTTCATGTCTGGCTGCTCTCCATTTGGAGAGTGGCCCATTGGATCCAAGACCTTTCCTTCTCTTTCTCCGTAATACCAACTTTCAAACAAATAAAGCAATCTTTAAAAAAACTGAGAACATACATATTTGCCTTTCTGCAGCACCAATTAACTTTAACACAATCACTTGCTGTGAACTCTAAATCTTGCTCCAAAGTGGTAGGCATTTATTTTCATCCATTCTTAACTTCAGTTGAAATAGCCAGATTGTGACTGATACTTTCCTAACTATAAAATAATACATGTAGAATTTGGGTTCAGAGAATGCCTAAATCTGTTGAATACATATAAAAGAACTTAATTGGATAATCTAGATTATATTTAAAGAGATTCATTAATGCAAAAATCACAAATTTGGATATTCAGCTGACCTCTATCTTTCTAGGATAAATAATGATGGCTAATATCAAAAGAAGAAAGATAAAAAAGATAGAAACACTGAAATTTCATTTTTAAAACTTTTAAAAATTTACTTTCTAAAGTTATTAATTAACTCAACTTTTTAGTTTTAAAATTTAGTTTGATTTTAACCATCTTAATATAAAATTTCCCTATAAATTTTTCTACTTTTTTTTAGATTTATTTTAGTTTTATTGCAAAGTCAGATATACAGAGAGGAGGAGAGACAGAGAGGAAGATCTTCTATCCAATGATTCATTCCCCAAGTGTCTGTAAAGGTTGATGCTGCGCCTATCTGAAGCCAGGAGCCAGGAACCACTTCCAGGTCTCCCAAATGGGCGCAGGGTCCTTGACTGCTTCCCCAGGTCACAAGCAGGGAGCTGGATGGGAAGTAGGACCACTGGGATTAGAAACAGCACCCATATGGGATCCCAGGCACATTCAAGGCGAGGACTTTAGGGTTTAAGCCACCGTGCCGGGCCCAATTTTCCCATATTTAATGAGTGTTTTAGACTATCTTAAGGTTTTTCCATGACAAAAACATAAGTTTGGGGCTGGTGTAATAGCACAGTATGTTAAGGCGCTACTTGTAGCACTGGCAATCCATGGTTGCTGGTTTAAGGTCCTGTCTGCTCTACTTTTGATCCAGCTCTCTGGTAATGTGCCTGGGAAAGCAGTATAGGATGGCTCAATTGCTTAGGCCCCTGCACCCATGTGGGAGACTAGGAAGAAGCTTATAATTCCTGGCTTCAAACTGGCCAAACTCCAACTCCAGCTGTTGAGGTCATTTAGAGAGTGAATCAATAGATGAAAGAGTTCTCCGTTTCCCTGTTTCTCTAACTCTGCTTTTCAAATTAAAACGAAAAAAGCACAATAAATAAAAAATAACTCTGACAAGAAAGGTCATGTAAGAATGACATGACCTGAAAAAAAACTTAGCAGCCTGCTGGCTGCTGGTGGGTGCTAGCCCAGGATCATCTCCATGCTAGCAGCCCTGATTCCAGCCAGTATGTACACATGGTGACCTGTCCCTGGGCCTGCTTGAGCTCCAAAGGCTGCTCCCTTCATGGTGAATACACTGAAGGGGGAAGTCTGGGGAACTGGGTGGGCCCAAGGCCATGCCCACTGCCATCATTGCTTGGTGGATGGGATTGGGGAGGGGGCGACCTTGGGGTCTGGTGGCGAGCTCTGAGGTTTTGGTTCTCTGAATTGCTGCTTAGGCAGTTCCGTTGAGCCCACTGTGCTTCTGGGATGTGATTCAATCCTAAAGATTCCCAATGACAGAGTAACTTTGAAGAAAGCGAGGGTAATGAGACCTGGTAGGTTGGAGGAGAGGGACCAGATGATCTTTATGGATAAGACTGATATACCAAACTCCTTTAAATCCTGTGTAGAAGTTGTAATCACGGAACAAAGCTGACCACTGAACACCAGTCCATGCAAAAGCTAAGGCTCGGGGCTTGTCTAGCAGGATCATATCCTATCACTTGACATGATAATGGATCAGGAGACGGGTCACATTACACAGGGCATAACATTAAGTAGCACACGAGAGAACCATATCCGGGGGTAGAATCTGTGGAGGATGTGTGTGCCAAACCCTGTGGAAATACTAGCCCCACTGGTTAGCTCAAGAGTTGGGGTGATGATGGACTAAACTAGGTATGACCAAGGAGCCTGCCATCACTCACTGGTAAAGGAAGGGAAATAGTGGGCTCCTTCCTCTTGGGTTACCACTCCCACTGGAGAACATGAAAACCAGGACGGGGCAGGGGTGGCTAGACAGAAGAGCACCCAACAGCATGTATGCAGGCTGGATAGTGGAGCTGGTTGGGTTGAACTAGGCTTCAATGCCCATTGACATGTATGAGAGCTGAATGGGATGTGTGACAGACTGGACTAGTTTGCTGCACATAATGGCAAGCATGGTAACCAGGACAGGAGGCGGGCCTTTTGGGGGTTATCTTGGGTCGCTCCAACTAGGCTGCAGCTCCCAGTGGTTTATGTGAGGGCCGAGTGTGTGCTCGGCAGAATCAGGCTGGACTGCAACAACCATTGGTTCGAGTGGAAGTCAGGGCTGCAAACAGAACCGATCCAGCAATTACAATCACCAGCTGATTGTGGCGATGGACTGTACCAAGCCCTGTACTTGCAAGTACACACAAGAATCTGGTCTGAGTTCACCTCAAACAAAGTTTCTTTAGGGATTCCCTCAATCAAACTGCCAGACTCAGATCCCTAACTATGAAAAGACAGAGGATAGAACTAATCAATCAACTACCCCAGCCATATGTTGGCAGTAAAAAAACAGAGCAAAGTGAGACTCTAAGATGGACTATGTCAACCAGTGGATTCTGCAGTGATTTCTTCATGCTTGGATTGGTGATATTGGCAGCAATGCATAACTGTTGAACTATCAAAACCACTTGAGCAAGACCCTCGGAGAATGCCCCACATCGGGGACCTGGGAGGGGTGGGAGACTGGCTGGGGTTTCTTCCTTTATCTCCCCCTTTACTCCAGATATAGAAAAAAAATGTGTGGAAATAATAGTCTTACCCACTTTCCTATAGCCCTTGATCCTTTGTGCCCAGATTAACTATGTAAAGATAGCCAAAGATAAAATTAAAAAATGGAAAAAAAAATGGCATGACCTTGAATGATAACATCAAATTAATGTGACAATATCGTATCAAATTCATGTGACAATATCATGCAACCATATCATCACCTATGATTTCTTGAACTTCATTTTGATTCATAGCTGGTTTTACAGCTTTGTCCCTTGAAGTAGAGGATTTTGCCCCTGTTAGGCTATGCGTGGCCATATATTCATTTGTGTAAAGTACTTGCATTAAATCATTAATAAACTTCTGAGGCTTGCTCTTATTACATCGGGCAATCTGCCATTTTTCAATCTTGAACTAAAAGACAAAAAATAATTGGGATTAGAAAAATAAAAGTAATATCTGGAGAAATATATTACTAATTGATAATCAGAAAACAGAATCAACCTTCTTTAACATGATACACTTTTAATATACATTTTACATTCCAGGGATTAGAGGTGAATTTTATTTTTGATGTAATTCTCAGTATTTTGAGGTATGTATTCTAAAACATATACAAATTTTTGGCAGGTGTTTTAAGAATTAGTCTAATCCTCAACATTTCATAACCAAGTGTGATAAACACAACAGAGGCCCCCTAAAGATGCCCACCTATGGTTGTGCTATATCCGACAGCAAAAGACAAAATTATGTACATGGGATTGAAGTTCACTGCCTTTAGATAGAAGAAGAGACTGGTTTATCTAGGTGCAGTCTAATCATACAACTCCTCAAAAGTAAAAGATGGAGGCAGAAAAAGGAGATAGAAAACAAAGGAAACCTGACTGGCTACTGCTGGCCCTGACCATTGTGGAAGTGGACTCCAAACCAAGAAATGTGGCCACTTTTACAGTGGGAATAACCTTCAGATTGCCAATAGCAAGAAAATGGGGGACTCAGTTCTACAGCTACAAGAAACTGAATTCTGCACAACTCAAATTTGTATGAGATTCCAGAAAGAAAAGCACCTGTTGATGCCCTGATATTATCGTAGTGACAGCTGTCCAGACTTCTGACCTACAGAACCCAGAGATAATAAATTTATGTTATTTGAAATCAGTAAGTGACAATCTGCTACATAGCAACAAGAAATGTACACAGAAAGATTCAACTATTCTGAATGTTAGAATGCTAGTCTTTATTGCTTTTGAAGACATATATTCTCAGGCTGATAATTCCAACAAAGCTCTCGTCTTCTCAGCACCTGTGTTTTGATGAACAAAAATTAGGAAAACTAGAAAAAGAATTGTGTCCGGCCAGCATTCAGAGGCTGAAGTTTACCTTCTCTTTTTTTTTAAAAACAAATTTACCAAAATACAAGTATTTTGTAACATAGGAAATATAAATATAAACTAAGTTGAGCCAGAATTTGAAAAATCAAAGCAACCAATGAACAAAATTCAGAAGCAAAAAATGCAGGTCCAGACTTGCAGAACATTCCAGACATTCAAGGAAGAAAAGCACTCTTCCATTTTCAAGATTCTCACAAAGTGCCATAAACTGGAAATATATTTAAATTTCTTTTTCTGAGTTTAGAATTAAATGGATGACACAGCTGGATCAGGACATGAAATAAAAAGGAGATTAAAAAGTTTTATAAAAAGATACATGAATATTTTAATGAGATATTTTTGTAAGCTAACTATGAAAACAGAAGAAATCAGTAACAAACAGGATATGCAAAGAGGATGCAAGGGTGGTTAACATTCCAAAATTAATCAACTAAATAATTCACATGGAAGACAAACTAAAAAAAAAAAAGGGTTAAAAAGTGTTTAATAAATCCAGCGTCTAATCTTAAAAAGGAAGCTGTTAGCAGAATAATAGAAAATATCAATTTTGTTTCTATAATTAAGATAAGCTACAATGACTCTGTAATGACAAGTTCTGCTTACATATAACACTGAAAGCGTTTTCTTAGAGTAAACCTGGACAAGGATTCCTCCTCTCACTTTGCCTCTCTATTTCTTATTCTTATTTTCCGTTTTACAGTTTTGCAGGTACAGGGCTTTTTCCCTTTTTCTCCTTGTCCTCCCTCCCTTTTGTCCCTTGTGTGTTGCAATAATATAGTCCTTCTGCTGTAGTCTCGAGTCCAGCATTCTGCTCTTTATAAGCAGTTGTACAGAGTGTAGTATTTTGCTATCTTGGTATATATAGCAGATTTATTGGGGGCCTACTTTTATTCAGGAGATGCATACTGTTGATCTTCTTTGTTTCCTGGTACTCTGGTCTCCATTACATCCTTCATTTGTGAGATTACAAGTGTATACTTGTTTACCTTTATATCTTTTCATTTTGTATTATGGATGAAAGTTGTCTTATATCAGAGTGAACATACAATGTTTGTCCTTTTGGGATTGCCTTTTTCCTTTTGCATAATGGTCTCCAGTTGGGACCACTTTTTGTAAATGGTAGACCTCTATGAGGGAAATTACAAACCACTGGAAAAGAAATAGATGAAGACTTGAAAAGACGGAGAAAAGCCCATGTTCCTGGATAACAGAATCTACATCATCAAAATGTCCACATCTAGAAAGTAATATATAGATTCAATGCGATCCCAATCAAAATCCCAAGAACATTCTTTACAGAGCTAGAAAAAATGATCTAAAAATTCCTCTGGAAGGCTAAGAAACTTCACATAGCCAAAACTATCTTGAAGAAAAATCCCTAGCTGGAGGAATCACAGTTCCAGATCTTTGAACATATTATATGGCAGTAATAATCAAAATAGCCTGGTATTGGTACAGAAACACACAAAAAGATCCATGGAACAACCTAGAAACCACAGAAGGGAGTCCACACATGTACAGCCAACTAATCTTCAACAACAGAACAGAGAACAAGTCAGGAAAAAGTGGTGGTCTCTTCAACAAATGTTGGGACAACTGGATAGCAGTCTGCAGAAGAAAGAAATAAGACTTTCACCTTTTACTGTATTCAAAGATCAAATCTAAATGGATAAAAGACCTAAATCTACACCCAGAAATCATCAAACTATTAGAAGAAGACATTGGAAGCAATCTACAAGGTAGAGGTGTAAGCAAAGACTTCCAAGAAAAGTCATCAAAAGGACAGGCAGTCAAAGAAAATAAAATGGGACTATACCAAACTAAAAAGCTTCTGTACAGCAATGGAGATAATCAAGTAAGTGAAGAAGCAACTAACAGAGTGGAAGAAAATCTCTGCACACTACACAACAGAGGGGATTAAATCTAGGATCTACAAAGAGCTCCAGAAACATAATGACAAAACAGACAAACCAATTAAGAAGTGAGCGAAGGAAATGAGCAGGCATTTTTCAAAAACACAAATTTAAATGGATAATACACATAAAAAGAATGCTCAAGCTCAGTAGCAATTAGGGAAATACAAATAAAAAACCACTTTGAGGTTCCACTTAATCCCAGTGAAAATGGTCTATATACAGAAATCTACTAGTAACAATTGCTGGTGAGGATATAGTGAAAAAGGTACTTTAGTCCACTGCTGGTGAGATTGTAGACTGGTGCAGCGACTACAGAAATCAGTATGGAGAATATTCAGGCAACTGCAAATTTATCTACCATGTTACCCAGCAACCCTACTCTTGGGAATATATCCAAAAGAAGTGGTACATACATATGAGAAGATAACTTACATTCTTATATTCATTTCAGTACAACCAACAATAGCAAAGACATGGAAACAACCTAGATGCCCATTGAAAGAGGACTAGATAAAGAAACTATGGTACATGCACTCTTTAGAATGCTACTCAGTCATTAAAATGAATGATATATACTTTCATAATCTTTAATGTATTAGTTTCCTGTCAGCAGTTTAAGACCCTTATAATTTAATAATTTAAACTTTTGCTTTTGTTTTCCAAATGAGGCATTTGTCTCAGAAATATTAGTTTTTCTTATAAAACAAAAATAATTTAATGCAATAAGAATATTATTGGTGTTAAACTAAAGTTGACTGTAGGACAATGGTCATTTTCTATTCCTTTAACACTGTTTTGTTTTTATATTTCAGAGGCTGATAAATGTTCCAACCAACCTGTTTCTCATCCATGTGCTGTTCTTCGTCAGCCTTCAGGGAAGCAGGTGAACTAGAATTCGAGTTAGAATTACTGCACGTTGACGCAAACGAATCTGGTGAGGAGTTGTTTGTTGCTCTCCAGAGAGTGGCCGCAGTGGTAGACATGGCTCCTCCACCCTTCAGCAGGGTCTCTGCCATCCCAACCAGTTCCTCAAACTGGGTGACTGCCTGTGGTAACACTACAGTGGCAAGAAAAAGTAACACTTCAGAAACACTGTTAGGATAGGTACATATTTATTGTAGACATGTTGCATAGATCCACTGGGAACAAACTGTTAACATGTGCTGCATTTGGAAAACAAACAATGAGAAGAGTGTGTGGGAGCATTTTTGCCTTTTATTAAACAATTTGATACTTGCTTAACAATAAATCAATTTAAAAACATTTGTTGTTGTATTTAAACTTATAAGCACTACTTTGAAACTAAAAATATGTTCTTAAAAGTTTACTCTAACTGCCATGAACCCTGTCTGAAGGGGCTGGATCTCTTGTTTGGAGACATTACTGATTCTATTATTAGCCACCTTCCAGAAGCTCACATTAGGCCAGTTTAAGTGCCAAGATAAAATTAGCCATTTCCCACAGATTGTATCAGTTTTCTGCAACTGCCGTGTCGTAGTTTGCCAGGGAGTGAAATTCTATCAAATTATAAAAATGTACTGCCACAATCCAAACCTTTGTTGTCAGGAATTAAAGATGTGTTTTGGTAAGCAACTGAATGTTCTCTTTGTCTCCTTTTTTTTTTTTTTAAATGGAAACTTACACAAAGTTTTTATGCCTCCATGTATTATGGTCTTCTCTGTTATATCTAGTTTGTTTCCTAAGGACAAATAACATGTTGTTGGAGTTGAAATAACCTTGGACTCATCTAATTAAATTCCTCACTTAATGACTAAAGGCAGTACCTGCTGAAGAAGGAAAAAGACTCTATAACTTTTTTTTTTTTTTTACTTCTCCCAAAGTACATTATTGATATACAAACTTTATGGCAAGTTGAAACTAGTACATCTGGAACCATATTAAAGAGAAAACTACTAAATAATAAAAATTCATGTTCTTTTTCAGTAAATATTTACTAACTTCCTGCTATTTGTGTTATTGAGCATTTAATACCAAAATATTTTCCTAGTATCTACTCTTATCTGATACTGTTTTGAAGTCTTTAGTAATACTCCCTCAAACCCCCTTTGCAACTTTCAGAAATAGGTGTTATCATTACTCCCAATTTATAGATGAGGTCAATTAGGCAAAAAGGCTACATAACTAGTTCAGAGACATCTAGTTGGTGAAAGCAAAAACTAAGATTCAAATTCTGGTTTCCAAAACCAGGTTACACAGGATTGGAACAGCTGACTTTGACCATACCAGGTGCTTGGAAAAGAGGTGGGAGCAAAGTAAGACATGGTTGATGTCCTTTTGAAGTCTGAGACATAAATAAATGGACAGGGAAGGGGGGCTGGATGTACATAACCATACTTTGTAATAAGAACTTTGATGTGCTCCAACAGAGGCTTGGCCTTCAGCCCAACTCAAGGGAGGCAACATCTTGGGAGACAAGGGTTTGGCCTAGTGGTGAAGCTGCCCATTGAACTGTCCTATCCCATCTTGGAGTTTCTGAGTTTAAATCCAAGATCCTCTCCCTACTCCAGCTTATTGATAAATTGTATCCTGGGAGGCAGTGGTGATGGCTGAAGTAATTGTGTCCCCAGTGCCCACCAAGGGAAACTGGCTCTTGGCTTCCGCCTGGCCTAGGCTCAACTATTACAGGCAGCTGGGGAGGAACCAGCCGCTGGGTGCTGTTTCTCCTTGGGATTTCTCTAAGTTATGGGAGTGTTTTGTTATTCCTGGTGAGCAGTAAGTGCCTGGGATCACATCTCTTAGCTTATGCTTAGGAGATGATTCAGCTCGGGGCTAGTCAAATCCTATAGCCTTATGGTGGAAGATGGCCATAGCCAGAAATCCAGGACAACCAACTAACTATATGATCCAGAGGGCAAGTTAATCACATGAGAAATCAATCCATTATACCTACATAAAGAAGCCTCAATAAAAATGTGGATAATGGAGCCCTGGATAGCTTTCTGAATGGATGACACCCAAGTGCTGTTGTCAGGCATAGATGTTTGGGTGGGTAACTAAGGGATCCTGAGGACAACATCAGTCCCCTTACATTTCAGTGTCGGTTTTGTGCTCTTTTGTTCCGAGCCCAATTTGTTCCTCTGCTTTTTTTTTCAGACTCAGGGACTTCCTGGCTTACAACTGCATAGTATGACAATATAGTTCTCTTTCAGCTCCTCCTGCAAACACATAGAAACACAATCACCCAATTCTCACTTGCAAAGATACTTTTCTCCTTTTCCCACATCCTGCATAGTGTAATAGGATCGCTACTCAGTAAATAATGTTCTTATATTATGGTGTGATGTGAATATTATTCCTTTCATTTAAAATATTACTTCTTTTTCGCAGTTAATAACTCTCATGTTTTTCTTGGTTTATTACTTTTCCGATTGTTTCTTTCACTAATGTGTCTCTGAAACTTACCGCCCAGGGTGTAAACATTTTTTTTTTCAGTGTGTTTGTGTACATCATATGACCTAACAGTTGCACACATCTTTTGGTGCAGGCTCTCCTGGAGCGCTCCAGGACCAGACCACCTGTGAGCTTTCCATATGCTGTCATTCTCGAACTTTCTTTAACTACCATTCCTGTGTGGCCCCATGCCTGTGTTTCTCCTCAAACAGATCACTTCTTTTCTGAACACCATTTCTTTTTCTTTCTCGGTTTACTCTCTCGTCTCAAAGCAGTGTACCCTACATGAGCTTCTGAAAAAAAAAAAACCTAATTTTGAAATTTTGTGTGATGATATTAGCATTTTGCACTTGCCCTTGGTTGACAATTTCAGCAAGTTTAAAGCTCTAGCCTTAAATCATCTTAAAACAGACACTTAAAGGCATTGCTTATGTATTCAGAAACTTCCAGTATTGCTAATCAAAGTCCAGTGCTATTCTGATGCCCAATCTTTATTAGCATGTGATAAGCTTTTTCTTTCTTTGTATTGAGCTTTTGTTTGTATTTCTTTTCTGATTTTATGAAACTTTTATTAATATTTGTTTTGTTCATTCATCTTGCTAGGTTCTTAGGACAGTGTCTCATAAACACTAGTGATTTTTTTTTTTACTGATTACATTTCATTTTGTTACACAGTTTTATAGTTTCTGGGATTCCTCTAACCCCTCCCCATCCCCTCTCCCCATGGTGGATTCCTCCACCTTGCTGCAATATTACAGTTCAAATCCAGTCAAGATTCTTTCACTGTAGGCATATACCAAGCATAGAGTTCAGCATCTTATTGTCCAGATACACTGAAAGGTTTCCTGGGGAGACCATCCCTTGTCTGAAGGCAGAGCTGGCAGAATATCATCCCAATCAATTTAAAGCCACAATATAACATGAATAACAATTTACAATATTATGGAGTTAATTGACATGGTATTGAGTAACCAATATGTTAAAAAAAATGCAGGTTCTTAACCACATCCTGTGACTACTTCATTGACATTTCAATTTTAGTTTATATACAACCAACTTCTATACACCTTAAAATGACTAAAGGGTACTATTCAGCTGTCTCATGTCTATTTTCATTTTAGCATTTAGCAGTTTATAGTGTTGAAGCATAATTTTTACTGAACTTGGAACATTTCAGGGTAGTCAAAACTGGCTTATAACTCTAACAAGTCATATGTCAACAGTTGAGGTGCAGAACAATTTTAGGAGGGGTGTGCAGAGAAATCTTCAATGCCTTAGTGGGGAGTAACTTATCTTTGTGTCCTACCTAGTAAGGTAAATGTAGGTCCATGCTGACTGTTTCCTGTCTAGTTCTAAGCTTTCCTTGTTGTTCTATATTAGGGATTTCTAAAGTATTTGTTGTATGAACAAATTATGAGTGAACACTGGCAGCAATCAGCAGTTACTGACTTGTCTGGTTGCCCAAAGTGCAGCAAATGGCTAATTTCATTAGTTGATTCATAGGGCTACCTTCAAATGTGTGTCTATGGGCCAGGGAGAAGCACAGGCAGAAGTATTAAATGCATCACAGATTATATAGAGTGGCAGGTGTCAAAGAACAGACCGAGCAGGGGAGGGAGCTAAGAAAAAAACATGGAGAGGAGTGAGCTTGAAGTTTTAGATGGAGTGAGGAGATCAGCTGAAAGATTATTTCTGAAGACCCAAATTAAGGGAAGGTTAAAGCCATGTGGAGATCTAGAGGAAGAACTAGGCCAAACACAAATACACTGAAACAGCAAATACAAAGACACTGGCAGCATGCTATAGTAGGTCTCTGCCTCTGTCTGCAGGGCCAGAATGCCGTATGGGCATTGGTTCGGGTCCTGGCTACTTTGCTTGCATTTCAATTCCCTGTTAATGTACATGGGAATGTGGCAAAAGATGGCCCATGTCCTTGGGCCTCTGCACCTATCTATGAGACCTTGAAGAGACTTCAGGCTCCTGGTTTTGGATCAGCTCAGCTCTGGCTGTTATGGGTGTGAACCAGCAGATGGAAGAGCTCTCTGTCTCTTCCTCTCTCTGTAAATCTTTAAAATAAAAATAAATCTTTCAAAAAAGGAGGAGACAGGTAGCTAGATCATGTAAAGATTCACAGATCATATAAGCAATTTTATTTTGAATTAAAAGGCAGATGGAGAGAAAGAGAGAGGATGAGAGAGAATCTCTCCCATTCACTAGTTAATTGCTCAAATACTCATAACAGCTGTGGCTTGGCCACACTGGAGCCAGGATCCAAGACCAAAATTCAGATTTCCCACATGAAGGGCAGCAGCCTCAACTACATGAGCCATTAGCAGGCAACTGAATGGGATTGAATCCAGGCACTTTGAAACAGGATGTGAGCATTTTACCAAGTGAGTCAAACACCTACCTCAAGACTTTAGTTTTTATCCTGAGTAAGACAGGAATCCACTGGAGTATCTTAAGCAGGGAAATGACATGAACTGACTTATGTTGAATAGTATATAATTCTTACTGCTGAATTAAGAATGGACTGGTCAGGAACAAGAGAAGAATTTGTTGTGGCAGTTAGGAAGCCACCATAATGATCCAAGGGAGATTAACAGTGTTTGGACCAAATGGCAGCAATGTAGGGAATAAAAGGAATGAAATTCCAGCAACATTTTGAAGGCAAAGCAGGTAGCATTTGTGATGGGTTGAATGTGAGATGAAAAAGAAATGAAGAAAGAGTAGATAGAAAATGGCTTTTGGCTTAAGAAACTGGAACAATGAAGTTAGCATTAACCAAGATGAGGAACAAACAGGCTGTGGGAGATCCGGCCTGTGGTTTAACACAGGACACCTAACAGTCATGTGGAACATGCAGTTGGACAGTAAGCTGGAGAGGTGCAAACAGGAGACAGAAATCTAAGACTTACAGTTTAGAAATGGATTAAAAAATTTATTTGGTGCCAGTGCTGTGATGCAGCAGGTAAAGTCACCTATGCCACAAGCATGGGCACTGGTTTATGTTCCAGCTACTCTACTTCTGATCTGAGTCCCTGTTGGTGGCCTGGGAAAGCAGTGGAAGATGGTGCCAATGTGTGAGCTCCTGCTACCCGTAAGGGAGACCAGGATTGAAGCTACTGTCTTCAGCAGGCTTAGGTGGAAGATCTACCTTCCCACCACCTCTCTGTAAAACTATGATTTCTAAAATAAATTAACAAATCTTTTAAAAATTTTTTTTATTATTATTATCATTTTATCATACAGTTCCATAGGCTCCTGGCATTTCCCTTATCTCAGCCCAATTCCCACACCCCAACCTAGTTCCTCCATATCATTACTAAAGTATATTTCTTCATACATAGTCATATGTCTATCATTGCGGGCATGGACAATGGCAGAGAGTCCAGCATCCTACTGTCAAGATATAGTAAACAGTTTCATTGTAAGTCCTTCTTTGATTTGGAAGTAGAAATGCATACTACATTGTATCCTCACATCTAGATACGTTAGTCTCCATTTCACAGCTACTGTACATCCAACAAATCTTTTAAAAAAAATTTATTTGTAAGTCAGACACAGAGTCTATGGCTATGTCACCCTGAACGTGTCTGATCTCATCTGAAAGTCACACACATACATGCACAGGACACACAGAGAAATTCCATCCATTGGTTCACTTCTCAAATGCCTACAATAACTAGAAGTGGGAGTCGACAGCAAGAGACCAAGAATTCACTCTTGTTCTCACACCTGGGTGACAGACCCAAGTACTGGAATGAGCATCTGCTGTCTCTCAGGGTGTGCACTGATAGAAAGCTGGAATTGGAAGTGGAGCTGGAACTTAAACCAGGCATTCAGGCATCCTAAGTGGCATAACTGCCCAATTACCAAAAGCCTGCTTCCCGGTGATGACTTTTTATGATGCGATAGATCATCTAGAGAGTGAACACAGGTAGAAAGAAAGAAAGCCCAGGGATCGAGCCAAGAGCACCATCAATTACTTATAGGATAGGATGATGAACCAACCAAACTTCAGACCTCCAGCAATGTAGGAGAAAAGCTGGTAAGGGTGATATCTTGGAAAGTAAGTAAGGAAACTGTTTTCAAGGAAGGAATTTCCAAGATGTTATCAAAATGTTACCCAAGGGCATTTAATATGTCAACTGATAAATGAACACTGAGATTCAAAATTTGGAGTGTTACAAGTTGCACTGTTTTTCTCCCCATAGAAAGTTACAGAGTCCTAATCAATGGTACTTCAGAATATGATCTTATTTCCACTTTTTAAAACAGATATAATAAAACTGAAATCTGAAATGAGGTCTTTAGGATAAGCCCTAATATTATATTGTTGGTGTTCTCCTAAAAAGGTATTTAGGCAGAAAGACAAATACCCAGGGAGACCACCATGGGAAAGTTAGAGTTATGTTGCATCAAGGTCAATGAAAAACGAAAAACTAGAAAGAGCTCTGAACCAGAACTTCCCAAGCATGGTGAGGGAGAGGCTGGCCCTGCTGACACCTTGACTTTGGAATCCTAGCCTCCAGAACTGCAAAGATGCTAACTTTCTTGTACTTCAGCCACAAGCTTGTATTTGGCTCTCACTACAGCTCTGGCAGACCAAGGCACGAAGGCAGCTGATGATTATGAGAATGGAAATTACAATGGGATTCAAGGTCCTGACTGGAGTGGGATCCAGAGAGAAAAAGGGGAGAGGAGCAGGGATGGATAGAGGGTATATGGTCAAGTCTTTTAGGAAGTTTTTATATGTTAAAAAGGAGAGAAATATGCCAAATACAGAGAAGCAAATGGCCTGAAATAAGTCTTTGTTAATGGAAACTTTAGTTTTGTTAAAGTTCTTCTCTTGAGAACTTCTCATGAGAAGGAGAACTTGATGTTGCTGGCGAGTGGGACAATACTGACAGAGCAATGTCTTTGATTAGGTGAAAGGATATGAGATCTGGTGTATTGGTAAAGAGGCTGTCTTTGGCTATCCATTGCATGGGGCACTTGTGAATAGCAGAAGCACAGGAGCAGAGAGAAGATTGTCTTGTCACTACCTGCACTTTCTCAGTGATTATTTTCACATGAAATTGAATTTAATACAGTTCTCTTCATTTATGATTTCTGCATCAATATTCATAATGACAACTGGTCTATAATTTTCTTTTTGGAAATTCTGGGGTCAAGTTTCATGTCAATAAAACCCGGGGAAATAACAACAGCATTACCATTACTGAGTCTTCTTCTGTGTCAAGCACTAGATAAAACAACTTTAATGATCTTACCTAATTCTCAAAGGGAAATGACATAGCATCCTCACTGTATAGAAGAGGACATTGGAACTAGGATGAGAGTACAGTGAGGTGAACCAAAGGTGCAAAGAAAGCAAGCAGAGCTGAGGTCCAAACCAATTCTATTACTCCAAAATCAATGTGTCTAATCAGAAATGTACACTAATTTTATAAATTCTTGTTTCTAAGTTTTGCAATGGGTGTATAGAAATGAAACAACCTATTTTGTGAAAAATCACAAAATAATTTCACTAAGAGAAAACATACATAAAGTAAATAAATAAATGAGCAATGATAAATGAAACAAACACATTTCTTTCCACTTCTATTTGGCTATTTCTACTTAAAACCATGAAGACTTAAAAGTGACCTGTTACTATCAATGTAACAAATCCCTATGTTGTATGTCTTATCTCTTTTGACTTTAAAAATATCACAAACTGCCCTCTATTTTCATAGCCTTAGCATTAATGCAAACACATTAACATGGAAGACCATAATAATTTCTTGTCATGCTCCCTTACTTTCTTACTGGTATCACCTATACCTAGTTTGTCCATGACAGCCAGAAGGACCTATGTTTAAAACGTTCTGTATTTAAATGCTCCCCAACAAATGATATAACTGCCTGATGTTCAGCTAGATAAAATAGGGTGTGATTCCTAGCTTCACATGGGAAGCATAATTTTTGAAAGGTAAACACTTAAACACAATAGAAGATCTTATAAAAAGCCTTTAACCCAAATGGTTTGCAGTTTGCTTAAGCAAATCTTCCTCCCTTAAATGAGTATGCTTTCAACAGAACTAATTATTTTCCCAAATGGCTCTGTGTAACACAAAGTCTATAATGTATAGTATGTGGAAGCATTAGTTCTATTGGTTCCATCATGGATCACATTATCCCTTTTTCTAGAGTTTTCCTCAGCAGAGAGGTATGTGATACATGCATTACTAGTTCTTTAACATATTTGCTATCTACAGGTCTTTTCTCTCTAGGGCTCAGCATTGTCTGTTTCCTACATTAAATGCTCAATAAATATCAGTTAAACATTATTTAATGAATAAAATACTTAGTATTTTATAGAAAAATGTTACCTTCTTAAATAACAAACTAGACAGTTCAACAGGAATGCTTCCATATTTCAATTATTTAATTGTTTCTCTAAGGAACTGATTTTCATTTTCATTACTAAAAGCTAATTTGCAATATTTTAATAGATTTCACTAACCATGTTTTTTTTTTCCTAAGAAAACAAGATGTCAATTTTGGGGGCCATCACAATGGTTCAATTGGCTAATCTTCTGCCTTTAAGCACCATCATCTCGTAAGGGTGCTGATTTGTATCCCAACTGCTTTACTTCCCTTGCATCTTGTGGCATGGGAAAGCAATGGAGGATGGCTCAAAGCCTTGAGACCCTGTGCTGGAATAAGCTCCTTGTTCCCAGCTTCAGATGAGCACAGCTCCAGCCAATGTGGCCATCTGGGGAGTGAACCAGTGGATGGACAATTTCTCTTTGTCTCTCCTCACTATAAAATGTCTTTCCAATAAAAATAAGTCAATCTTTTAAAAAAAATCGATTTTCTCAAAGCTTACCTTGTAACATAACCAAAGACTGTCGTAGTCGGCCATTTTCTTTCCTGGTATTGATTAATTTTTCTTTCAGACTTTTTATTTTGGCACACAACTCCTCCTTCGACAGTTCTTCCAAAGGTGTCTCATCCTCACTGGAGCTCTCCCCAGGCAAAAAGGCATTTCCCGAGTATGGGTCTCTCTATAAATTCAAGGGAGGCACAAAAGAAGCTTTATAGCACCTTCAATGTTTATCCCATGTCCTGTTGCTAAAGGGATTTGATCGGACCTGAACATTCCTGCTCTCATGGGCACCAAGGCCTTTTAATGTTGCCCAGCTTTTAATTCCACCATCTAGAGAGAAGAACAAATTTCACACACAAGGGTCCTTTGCAGGGTAGACTTCAGGATTCTGAGCTGCAGATTCAACTCAGTAAGAACACAAAGTAGAAAGTATTAACAAAATGGAGTTGACAAGATTTCCCACTTGGAAAGTTGAATCTGACTTTCCAAGAAAGATAAATAACAAATCTTAAAACAAGGAAATATGTTTAAAAGATTTATTTATTTTTATTGGAAAAGCAGATATACAGAGAGGAGGAGAGACAGAGAGGAAGATCTTCCATCTGGTGATTTGCTCCCCAAGCCACAATGGCCACAACAGCTGGAGCTGAGCCAATCCAAAGCCAAGAGTCAGGAGCCAGGAGCCTCCTCTGATGCAGGGTCTCCCATGTGGGTGCACAGTTCCAAGGCTTCAGTCTGTCCTTGACTGCTTTCAAAGGCTGCAGACAGCAAGCTGGATGGGAAGCAGGGCCGCCAGTACTAGGACCTGTGTCCATATGGGGTTCCAGTATGTCCAAGGTGAGGACTTAGCCTCTAAGCTACCATGCCAGGAACAAAAAACCAAAATCTTGTAATAACATCTGATGGTGTGGTGTGGGGAGAATGGTACCCTACTTCATTGTTGGCGCAAGCACAGGAAGTCAGTATATAGAGTTCTCAGACACCTGAGAATTCATCTACCACATGACCCAGCTATCCCATTCCTGGGAATACATACAAATGAAATGAAATATGCATACAAGCAAGCTACATGCAGCCTTACTATTTGTAGCAGCACAATCCACAGTATTGAAGAAATGGCAACAACACAGTTATCTGCGAACAAATAATTTGATAAAGAAACTGTGGAACATCTACTCTATTAAATACTACACAGCCATAAAAAAGAATGAAATCCTACCAGCTGCCACAAAATGATCACAAGTGGAGACCATTATGCTTAGTAAAATAATCAAGTCCTGTGGGGCTCAAAGAGACGAACAGGTCACAAATTCAACAAGATGGCAATTAACAGAGTCACTGGGTTACACGAGGTGAGCAAGATGGCGGCCAAGGACAGAGCCCTGGGTGTGAACCAGGGCGGGGAGTCAAGTTATTTAAAAGAAAGACTGATTGGTCAGGGCATTTTGCTCACCTGCCCCTGGCCTATGGGAGGTGGCTTTCACAATCATGCTGATGACAATTGACTCCTAGTTCCCCCTCCAGGAATTCCTGAGGCTGTTCACTACTCTATATAAAAATTAGTACTTCCCAAATAAATTGGAACTGCTTAGATGGAATTCCTGTCCATCTGTTTGTCTCTTGCACGCCAGAGAGGCTGGATGGTGGGCAGCAGGCTCACCCCCTCCAGCAATGAGGTATTAGAGGAATTTGGGTGGGAGACACCACATAGTCCCAAAGGACAAATATCATATGTTCTCTCTGATATATGACAGTCTTCATTCAAAGTATAAAATAGATATATAGGTAGTAAAGTATATACACATATTCCTATAGATCAACTAAATAATGGAGCATAGCACACAGGAAGTAAAGATACATTGCAACATGCATCTCTGCTCCCAAATAAAGAGGCATCCCAACAAAACAGTTAAATATACCCTGGCAATATGATATTAAATGCTTTACCTCTGCCTATATCTAAAATGCATGAAACACTTAAATAGCAAGAAATTAAAGTTGTAACTGTTGATTATACTACTGTGATAATATGGGGGGAAATGGTGGGAGCGGAAAATAGGGAGAAAAAGGAAAGGGAGGGAGGAACCCTTATAGCTAAAGACTATAAGGAAAAAAAATAATAATAAAGTTAAAATTTATTAGCAAAAATATATAAATCTGCAAGTAAACCAAGAAAACTAAATCACCAACTTGAGAAAAAACGAGCAAAGACATAAATAACCATTTTAAAGAAAAAAATGTAAGACTAAAAACAAACAGATTTTCAGCCTCATTAACAATCAGGATAAACAAGATGAAGATCACAGTAAGACATCATTTTTGGTAAAAATTAAGGAACCTGAAAAAATTCAGCATGGAGTAGATATGAATCAACAGAATTTATTTTATGTGTAAGAATATAAACTGGTATATAAACAGTCTTAGAAAACACTGTTCTCTTAAGTTGTATTTATTCATTTTCATTTTATTTGAAAAGCAGGGAGCTATGCACACAGAGGGAAGGAGGGAAGATCGGAGGAGGAGGAAAAAGAGAGGGAGAGAAAGAATTGCCCATTTGTAGGTTTACTTCCCAAATGCCTGCAACAGTTAGGGCCTGGATAGGTCAAAGCTAGGAGCCCAGAACCCAACCCAGGCCTCCTATGTGGGTGGTGAGGACCCTATACTGGAACATCCCTTCTGCTTCAAAGAATATGCATTAATAGGAAGTTAGATGGGAAGCAGAGTAGATAGGACTCTACTAAGCACTGTGATCCCAATACAGGCACTGCAAGTGGCAACTTAACCACTGTGCCAAATGCCCACCTTCGGAAAACATTTTACCATTCTCGTGTAAAGCCTCAGATGCACCTATCCTTTGATCTTGTAATTGCTTCTTATGTCTATATCTGAGAGAGATTTTTATATGTATGTAGAAAATAAGTTCAAGACTCAACAGAGGTATGATTGTCTATGATGGGAAAAATATGAAAACCACACAAATACACAATGGGTTTTTGAATGCTGGGGTATACAATGGAATATCACGTAGCATTACAGCAGAGAAAGTACAGCCACAAATAACTAGTCTTAGTAAAATGCTGAATGAAAATGTAAGTTCCCAAAGCAAACATTTAATATGGTATGCTTTTTTATAAAGCTTAAATACAAATCAAATTAATGATATTTTATTTATACATATATTATACATAATATATAAAAAATCTATATTGACATATAAATGCATAAATAAAATATGGCTATATATCTATTTCAAAAATTTAAAAAGTAAATAAATTTTACCCCAAATTGAACGTGATTACCTTTGGAGTGAGGCAGCAGGGATGAGTTGGGGAAGGAGTCTCTAGTTACTCCTATATAGGTACAAGATATTAGCAGTGTTTCAGGTATTTGTATTGGCAGACGCCTTACTAGAGTTCATTATTTCTCTAAAAAACAAAATGTGAGGTTAGGTCTATGGTGCAGTGGATCAATCTGTTGTTGCCTGCAATGCCAGCCTCCCATATTGGAGTACCAGTTTTAGTTTGGGCTGTTCTGCTTCTGACCTAGTTCTTAAACAAGTGCCTGGGAAGACAGCAGAAGACTGTCCAAGTACTAGGGTCCCTGCCATCTATGGGGGGATGTGGATAGAGTTCCACATACCTGCCTCTGGCCTGGCCCAGCTCTGGTTTTTGGAGCCATTTGGAAAATGAACCGGTGGATGGAAGATTGATTTCTCTCTCTCCCCCCCTTACTCCCTCTCTTCCTCCTTTCTTGTCTTTCAAACAAACAAACAAAATCTTTAAAAATGTAAATGAATCTGAGGAGTTTTTTTTTTAATACTGAAAGATGCTCACTGATGCTATAGTTCTAAGAAAAGTAACTGGAAAGTGTCAAAATTTATGGTGAAGGTCTTGGCAGGAAATTTTAGCAGTTCCTATCAGAAAGAAGAGAAAGCAGACAAAAGCAAATGCATTTGTGAGAATCAGTGGATAGAAATAAAGTTGAAAGAAAAGTTCTGCAAAGTTCAACCAGCAAAAGAGATTAATTTCTACATTGGATGTTTGTGGAATAGGGATTCCATTGGAATAGACCAGAATTTTTTTTTTTAATTAAGAGAACTGAATTGAGTGGTGGAAATCTGTAGGTATTTCCAGGTTGGTGTTCTCTTCTTCTACAGTATGAGGCTTTTAGATGACATAGCTGTCATTTCCCAGAATCCCATGCATCTCATTGTGGCTATGTAACAGAAGATATGAGCAGAAATCATATGTACAACTACGGTTCAAACATTTACAGAAATGACATGTCTTCTGCCTGTATTCTTTTTGTTTCCAGAAAGAGGAAGACATGCCATGATAATAAGAACAGTTATCTTAGATTCAGAGTCATAGGCAATGCATTGATAAAGACAGATAAATAAAATAAAAAAGATACACCAGGCCTGGCACAATGGTCAAGTGAGTAAATCTTAGCCTTGCAACTGTCAGGATCCCATATGGGTGTCAGTTTGTGCCCTAGCTGCTCCACTTCCCATCCAGCTCCCTGCTTGTGGCCTGGGAAACAGTTAAGGATGGCCCAAAGACTTTGGAACCTGCACCTGCATGGGAGACCTGGAAGAAGCTCCTGGCTTCAGATCAGCTTATCTCTGGCCATTGTGGCCACTTGTGGAGTGAACTAGTGTATGGAAGATCTTTCTCTCTCTCTCCTTTGCTTTGTAGACCTTCCTTTCTAATAAAAATAAATAAATCTTAAAAAAAAACCTATGGAAATGTAATGTTTGCTTAAAGAATTAAATAATAGATGATAATAATATTAAATAAAGCACTGCTTATATTTAAAACCCCACACAAATATATTTACATTAAGGACATAATAATAATACTAAAAAAAAAAACAGTGGTAAGAGCATGATTATCATCCTAAGCATAGGGAGGCATGTTAATAGAAATTCAGATCTTTAAAAGGAAGAAATTAATAAAAATAGGAGAGGGACTTTGATCAAATTATTTATAAGAATGGGTCATCAAGTGGGATCTAAAAAGAAAAGTAAACTCTACGAGCTACTGAGAAAGGTTAAGCCTCCGAGTGTTGTGGCAGCATCCCATATGGGCACTGGTTTGGGTCCCAGCTGCTCCACTTCACTCCAACTCCCTGCTGATGGAGCTGGGAAAGCTATGGAAGACAGTCTAAGTTCTTTTTTTTTTTTTCAAGATTTATTTATTTTTATCACAAAGTCAGATATACAGAGAAGAGGAGGAGAGACAGAGAGGAAGATGTTCTGTCTGATGATTCACTCCCCAACTGAGTTCAACGGCCGGTGCTGTGCCGATCCGAAGCCAGGAGCCAGGAACTTTTGACAGCCTAAGTTTTTAAGCTGCTGTACTCATAAGGGAGACAAAAAATAAGATCCAGGTTCATAGCTTCAGACCAGTCCAGCTCTGACAACTGTGGTCACTTGAGGAATGAACCATTGGATGGAAGATTTTTCTGTCTCTCCTTCATTCTCTGTAAATCTGCCTTTCCAATGAAAATAAACATTTTTTAAAAAAGAAAAACAAATTAGATCTTAAAGGAATGGTATTCCAATTTCTCTAGTATTGGGGGTAAGAAAATATTCTGACAATTTACCTGTCTATAAGAAAATCAAGGAAAAGTGATTGGTAGCATATTTAGCCATTGTTTGATAAATTTTTGAGCATGTTTCTAAGCGAAATGCTCATCATTAAAAAAGCATGCAATTTTACTCCCTGACTGAATGAAGAATTAAAAGAATAAAATAATAAAAGGAAAAGTAGGTGATAAAATTGAACAAAGATATCAGAAAAACCAACCTGTCCTTTATCCATGTCGCTATTTGCATTTTCAGAGTCCATTGTCTCTGTCCTTTTCCTCTTTCCTTTTCTAAAAACTTGAGTATCAGTAATGTCATCTGTCTGCAAGATCTTCTGCATTTTCTCCACTAGTTTCCAAAGATATTCTGAAATTATAGAAGGAAAAAATGCTCATGTAGTTGATGCTATTTTGGATGCAGCCCAAAAGTTAATGTTATTAACAATAAAACAACAAAAAAGGATGCAGAATATATTTAAGCAGCATGCTTCATAATGGTACTAGCCACTCAGGTAAACTGCTTTCACTAAATGCTTCTCATCTTCTTTTCCCCTACTGACCATGTTAGTATATAGATATTCACTTGATTCAACAGTCTTTTCAATTTCACATTCATGAAGTGCATATCCACAGTGTAACATGTAGTCAGTTGTCACTTACCAAGTCAAGTAGTACAAAAGAATTTTTCCATCTTCCTAAGCTTTGTCTTGATAGACAGTTATGAAGAATCTAGAAAACAAAGCAGAAACACTATAAATTTATGTCAACATTACCAGAAAAATAAACAAATTACAGATTTTTAAGAAAAAATTGTTAATAATAGCAGCTATCTTCTTGTTCAAAGAACAAAATACTACAGGAAAATCAATGAGGATTGATTAGAAGTGTTTTTTTTCCTCTGAAAACTGTGAAGCCTTCATATGAAACATTTTCCTTGATAAAAACAAAACAATTGTATCATAAGGAACAGAAAGAGTTATCTTGATGGCAATAGAAAGATTAGAAAAACTACAAATAATAATTTTTCAAAATCAGATAAAGTATGTGATAGACATTAGACTGTTGAAATGATGAAACTTAACTTTTGTTATAAATGGTACAGCACATGAAATTTTTGCTTCATTATTTATATATATTTGTATTAGTTTGTTTTGTGAAAAATACTTATTTATAAGTAATAAAGTTAATCATAGAAAACTCTGAGCTTAGTAATCCTTAGGTGTAGCCTGGGCCTGGCACTGTAGCTTAGTGGCTAAAGTCCTTGCCTTGTGCCTGCAGGCATCATGTATGGGAGCTGGTTCTAATGCCGGCTGCTCCACTTCCCATCCAGCTCCCTACTCGTGGCTTGGGAAAGCAGTCGAGGACTGCCCCAAAGCATTGGGTCCCTGCACCCGTGTGGGAGAGCTGGAAGAAGCTCCTGGCTCCTGGCTTTGAATTGGTTTAGCTCTGGCAGTTGCGGCCACTTGGGGAGTGAACCAGCAGACAGAAATTTTTTCTGTCTCTCCTCCTCTCTGTATATCTGACTGTCCAATAAAAACAAGTAAGTCCTTAAAAAACGTTTTTATAAAAGAAACATGTGGACTATTAAGCAGAAGGTAACATATATTCCTTATTAAATCATACTACGTAAACATTTCAGAGACCATTACATTTGGATTGGTTTTGTGGCAATGCTGGTTAAGTTGCTGCGTGTGCGGCAGCATCCTATGTGGGTACTACTTTGGATCCTGGCTGCTCCACTTTAATCCAGCTGAGTGTTTAAATAATGATAACTTCTTTTTATGTTTCAGTGTTGTACAGCTCACATGCCATTTTAGGTTTTAGGCACGTTTGCCACAGCAACTCTAAACCAAAGAATACTAGAGTGTTCTGTAATACTACAGATTAAAAAAAAAAAAACTTTCCTCCTAGTAGATCTTACTGGCCTATTTGCTAGAGCACAGTCAATAAACATTTTCAATAAATACTAGATAGTAAATATTTTAGCGACTGCAAGCCCAGAATCCAAGTACTGGATGTTATATGGTATTTATGCAGCAAGAGAAAAAACAGATTTTCACAATTTTTAAAAATATTTACATAGCTGAATACATAATTGAAATCAACTTTTGAAAAGATGTATTTATTTATATTTGAAAGGCAGAGTTACAGCGAGAGAAGGCAGAGGCAAAGAGAGACAGAGAGAGAGGAGCGGGAAGAAGGGAGAATTTTCCATTCTCTGGTTCACTGGCTCACAAAATACATTTTTGTTATCATCAGTAGCAACACATCTTAGTAGATGCTACAACAGGTTTTACTGCATTGATGTCTTTTTGACTCCATTTCTACCCCTCCCGTGCCTCTGTCTTTTAATTACATAAATAAGTAAACAAAAAGATCTCTAGGGAGTACAAACCCTCCCTGTCTCTGCCACGTGCAGACATACGGAGGAGCCTCTGTATAAGCCAGGAAGAAAGCCCTCACCAGAAGCCACAGCCTTCTGGACTGCGATTTGGACTTCCTAGTCCACAGTACTGTCCAAAATGATTTTTCTTTTTCTTTTGGTGATTCAACCAACCCACTTCATAGCATTTGTTAGGGCTGTTTCAGCTTACTAATATGCTTCTTATTGCAAAAATGAAGTGTCAAGTTTTGCTGAGAATTTGAGCACATACAGCCGTAAGGAGAGCAAAATAATTAAGAAAATGATTAAGAATTTTAGAGATGGTATTGAAAATAACGTCCAAGAACAAATTAAGAGGACAAGTCTCAGATGTATTTCACGTGGCCAGCCAAAACAAAAACAAACTTTTGAGACTGAAAACAAAACAAAACCAGTTACTATTAATCTTAAGAAGGCAAATACCGTACATGAAGGCAAAGTTAACAAAACTGGTGCATCTTTCATAATATCCAAAAGGAACTTGTACATTTCTCAAGGGACCTTTCTCTAGAATCTCTACAAAAAAGAGCTGATTCCCTCAATAATAAAAATAAACCTGCTAATGTTGATGAAGCTACAAGATTAATGACTCAGTTGTAATGCAGTGGTGATGTAATGAAATAATAAAAAAAAACCCAATAAATTAGATGTTTTATGTAATTTTCTTTAAAAAGATTCTCTTTTAATTTATTCATCTCAAAGTTGAAAGTAATACATACAGAACATATGAAATAAAATTGCCAAAATCTTTCTTATAAACGTTTTGATGCTTTCCGTGGTTACAGAGGAGGGCAGAGTAGGCGTCAGACCTGAGGCGTACTGGGAGCTCAGGCCAGATCTGAAGCGGTGGTGTAGAACTGGCAGGTCACAAGGGCAGCGGAGCCCTGGCAGACCAAGGGCTCTGGCTGGCATTTCCTCTCCTGAGAACTGGAGCGGTGTCAGGAGGGGTTTAACAACCTCCTGCACGCTTCCTTGCGCACCTTTTGGTCCCCTCGGCTCCCTTCTTTCTGCCTCTCCACTGGGTGGAGAAAAAGCCCACAAGAATGGACTAACCTCCAATAAAGCCCACATTTCAACAGCCAGCCGAGGGTGAACCTAACACTTTTAATGTAAAGTATAATTAGTATTTAAAAGTTAAAATTTAGGGCTGGTATTTGCCAAAGTAGGTAAAGATGCTGGCTGCAATGCCAGAATCCTATATGGGTGCCAGTTCATGTTCAGGCTGCTACACTTCTAATCCAGCTCCCTGTTAATGCCCTTACAACAGTGGCTTAAAATGGTCCAAGGGCTTGGGCCTCTGTTGCCCAGGTGGGAGACTTGGGAGGAATCCCTGGCTCCTGTCTTCTGCCTAGCTTAGCCCTCGACATTGCAGCCACTTGGGAAGTGCTATTGTTCAGTAGATACAAGGTTTCTTTTTTTATTATTCTTTCTTTTTAAAGATTCATTTATTTTTATTGGGAAGTCAGATATACAGACAGGAGAAGAGACAGAGAGAAAGATCTTCACTCCCCAAGTGACCACAACAGTGGGTGATGCGCCTATCTGAAGCCAGGAGCCAGGAACTTCTTCCGGGTCTCCCACACGGGTGCAGGGTCCCAAGGCTTTGGGCTGTCCTCGACTGCTTTCCCAGGACGCATGCTGAGAGCTGGATGGGAAGTGGGGCTGCCGGGATTAGAACCAGCTCCCATATGGGATCCCGGTGTGTTCAAGGTGAGGACTTTAGCTGCTAGGCCACCGTGCAGGGCCCAGATACAAGGTTTCATTTTGCAAGATGAAAGGTGTCCTGGAGACAGATGGAGGTAACAACTGCACAATAATATGAATGTACATCAATGAACTGCACAATTAATATGATAAATACAATAATTTTAACACAATCAGGAGAAAATTTATAAGAAGTATTTTTTTTTATTGTTTCTACTTGTAGTAAAACTTTCCTTCTGAATAGGATTTGATTAAAAAGCAAGGTCTCTGTGTGTTTTTTTTACGTATTTACTAAAGGAAGCATTTCACACAGATGAGATTTTTGAAAGTTATCAGGACCAAATGGGAGTTACTTGTGTCAAGCCCTAATAAAAAACAAAGGTGGGGTTATGAAGAAGTTATACACAGGCTCATAACAAAAACTCTGCTGGAACCACAATACTGCACAAAAGCCATCACAGCCCTACATAAAATGTCCTCCTCCAAGGGCCTCTGTCCAGTGTCTATTTAACTCTGGACTGCTGTCGCCCGAGTTACTAATCCTTAGCCAAGTTATTGTTTCAAAATATCTTACATACTCCTCTTCATTTTACCTTTGAAATTTTCCTCTTGCTGCAACCTCCTTGAAAATATTCAGTTGCTAAGACATGTGTTTTCAAATTTCAATGTTAGTTTACTTCCATATAAACTTAATTTTTAGATGCCTTTCTGAGATTAGGCTGAAAGACTAAATATAATCAAAGCCATGAAAATACTAAAAATATGTGATTGGATGAATAATAAAAGCCAGTGACTTTCAACGTCTTGGTTTTTACTGCAACTGTGAAGCTCATAATAAAATATACATTTGTTTCAGAAACTGATGTAAAATTTCATCAAACAAATATACTCTTATTCCATAGGACACACTCTTTCAGTTTCTATTTTGGTTCTCTATTCGATTGTTTTAGAAGTTTCCATTTTTTATAATATTTATTTTATTTTTATTGGAAAGTCAGATATACAACAGAGGAGCAGAGACAGAGAGGAAGATCTTCCATCATTGATTCACTTCCCAAAGTGGTTGCAAAGGGCGAGAGCTGAGCCAATCCAAAGCCAAGAGACAGGAACCAGGAGCCAGGGGCCTCTTCCCAGTCTCCCACAAGTGTGTGCAGGGTCCCAAGGCTTTGGGCCATCCTTGACTGCTTTCCCAGGCCACAAGCAGGGGGCTGGATGGGAAGTGAGATTGCTGG